GTGTGTGTGCGTGTCTGTTTGCGTGTCTGTGTGTGTGCGTGCTGGTGTGCGTTTGTGCGTGTGTGTGTGTGCGTGTGTGTGTGTGTGCGTGTGTTGCGTGCGGTGCGTGTGTGTGTGCGCGTGTGTCCGCGTGTGAGTGTGAGTGCGCGTGTGTGTATGTGCGCGCGTGTTTGTGTACGTGTGTGCGTGCGTGTGTTTGTGTTTGTGTGTGCGTATGTGCGTGTGTGTATGTGTGTGCGTGCGTGTGTATGTGCGTGTGCGCGCGCATGTGTGTGTGTGTGTATGCATGTCTGTGTTTGCGTGGGTGTGCGTGCGTGCGTGTGTTTGTGCATGTGTGCGTTTGTACCTGCGTGTGTGCGTGTTTGCGTGTGTGTGTGCGTGCGTGTGTTTGTGCGTGTGTGCTCGCGTGTGTGCGTGTGCGTGTGTGTGTGCGTGTGTGCGTGTGTGTGTGTGCGTGCGTGTGTTCTGTGTGCGTGTGTGTGCGTGTGTTTTAAGCTATCTGTACTAAGAAATGAAATGATATGTTAATTACTAAATTAGACAACCTTTAGGCAAATCTTCACTTATACATTTATAGACTGAAATGATTGACAATTACCTATCATACTATATTCATATGTCTAATCAGATTGAACCTGAGGCTCTGATGATATCATGGTCAATGTCGCTGTTTATACGAACTAAAGTTCCATTTTCTCACCAGGAAACCATGCCTTTGAGGTCCTCCGTACGGCGAACCAGACGTATAATGGAGTCGACTTCTTCGCCATCGAGGCGAAGTTGCCAGCTGACGGCCTGTCTGCCTCTTCAGACTGGTGCAGGGATTACCAGAACCTGTGTGCTGGCTACGGACTGAGGCCTACGGGATGTGGGGAGAGATGGGCAAGTGAGGGTGGGAGACGACAGCTCCCCCTTCCGTATCCGGTAGGACGTGTTTGTTATTTGTTTATTTAATCGATCTCCATTAGTGCGTACAAATCAATGATACAACACTAGTCTTCCTGGAGTCGTATTGAGTATAAACACTGCATTATACTATACATACAAACATACATATACAAGACGCAAACGTAACTTAAATACAACATGGCAAATAAAATGCAACATAGACATAGCAATGAAACACGACATGGGAAATGAGAATACAACATAGGGTATAAAACTGCTGAGAGGTCAGAGGTCTCAATACAGTTAAGAGCAAGTAATTCTATACGTCAGTCGTCGCACTACCACCATGATTGCAGAGGTTGGGAATTGTCCACGTTAGTTTTCAGCCAATCCCTGATATGTTTCTTAAAAGTTGCAGGTGCAGACAATCTGATGTGTTCAGGAAATAAGTTGTAAGTTTTGATGCATCGATACAGGAATGTTATTTTGGCTGAGGCGGTTTTCGGCTTTGGAAATTTGAAGCCACCTCTGTGTGCTAAGCGAGTGTTATGTCGATGTATGACATTCAGGACATAGTACATGCTGGGTAATCCTGTCATAGGGCACGCTGGTTAATCCTGCCATAGTGCACGCTGGTTAATCCTGTCATAGTGCATGCTGGTTAATCCTGTCATAGTGCACACTGGTTAATCCTGTCATAGTGCACACTGGTTAATCCTGTCATAGGGCACGCTGGTTAGTCCTGTCATAGTGCACACTGGTTAATCCTGTCATAGTGCATGCTGGTTAATCCTGTCATAGTGCACACTGGTTAATCCTGTCATAGTGCACACTGGTTAATCCTGTCATAGGGCACACTGGTTAATCCTGTCATAGGGCACGCTGGTTAATCCTGTCATAGTGCACATTAGTTAATCCTGTCATAGTGCATGCTGGTTAATCCTGTCATAGTGCACATTAGTTAATCCTGCCATAGTGCACGCTGGTTAATCCTGTCATAGTGCACACTGGTTAATCCTGTCATAGTGCACACTGCTTAATCCTGTCTTGTGATCTGAAGTGCAGGAACTTAAGTCAGAAGTGTGTATAAGTACTGATAAAATCATCTAGATTTTGATTTTATTACATAATACATAACTCAGGTGGGATGATGTTACATTTCCATGACAATATTATAAATTTTTGGTATTCATAATATAGTTATAGTGTACATTGTTATTCAGCACTAGTACTTATTAATTGTTTTTTTAGATTATATCAAATTATTATACTAAATCTTGGAATTTTCATGACTATGAAATTTGAGCTCATGATACAACATGTAACATTTAGAATGACTATTGTTCCACACTAAAGATTTGGTATGAATCCAGTCAGTATGTCCTACATGTATTATAAATATATATATGCCTGTAAAGTTCACAGTCCTCAGCTGGCAGGCCAGACAAAGTTAATCTGCAGCCAGTATTTTCTTACTTTTGTTATCGAAGGAGGGGCAAAGAGTTAGCAATGGTTGAGATATCTTACAGACGTTGTTGTGTTTCCAGGTGCGTGACTGAGTACAACTCTGACCCCTACATCAACGACGTGCTCGGCTGTAACCCGTCCGGGGGTGTAGCTGCCGTGGCGAACTTGGCCTTCTCAGCCGGGGCTACACGGGACAGGAAATTCGGCTTTTACATCTGTGCCACCAGCCACTGCCAACGTGGGATATACGAGAGTCGTCGGAGTCTGCGCAACACAGAAGCAGCCTTTGGCTCAGACGGAAGCGGAGACAGGATTGTGTACACAGTGTGCGCAGGCACTGCAGGTATTATCAATCATTTTGGCACTAGGACTATTGACTTAGACAATTAAATAAATTATTTCATATTAGACATTAACAACCATTCAAATTTCAGAAGACACAAAAATATATTAATTTTGTTTCTCGTTTAGCCAGAATTTAATTAAAAAAATAAAAATGCTGTTATTTTGTATCAATGTAAGTTAAATGTTGATTTTTACAGTTGCATGATTTTGGCCAAACTGGATTACTGTGATGTGATAGGGGTCAACTGCAAAAAAGGTTTCTTCTAACAATTCAAACTAACAGTAAAGCTGGGCAGTCAGTCTTATTTTGGAAAGAGACAGGGCAGCTAAAAAGTACTTTTGGACACCAGGCTATTGCTATATACCTTAGTGCATGGCCTGTGTTGTGGCATTGCTCTAACCATCTCAGAAGCTAAGAGCAGTTTTAGAAGCTGGAGAAACTAATGAATAAGACGGTATGTCCAGGCATAACATATGCTAGAATTAAAATGCGATTCAACGACATCTGTTTACCCCATCAGCTACCCAATGTCCGATACTGACTGCGCCAGATAACGGAGCGCTGAGCCCAGAAGGAGCGAACTCCTACAATGACGTGGTGACGTTCACCTGTAACCAGGGGTACGAGCTGGAAGGAAACTCTAGTGTGAGGTGCCAGGCGGACCGAACTTGGAGTGGTCCTGTTCCAACATGCACAGGTAAGACAGTTTGCAGTAATAAAGCTACTTGTAGCATCTCCAACCTTATTCCAATTATTGTTATTTCCATTAATTTACTGAATTCACAGAACTTCATGAGAGTTAATCGGACAGTTGCATACTGATTATTTCTAGTTCATTTTATCTATGATTGTAGTTATTTATTATCAATAGTTAGTAAGCTCTATAGGCTGTACAATTTTGTGTTTTGTCATATACATTGTATTTGCTTTCTTTCTGCTTTTTCTTTCTTTGACTTCTTTCCACGTACTTACGTAATGTTTTAACCATCTGTACTATGAAATGAAATGTTAATTACAAAAATTAGACTACCTTTGGGAAATCTTCACTTATACATTTATAGACTGAAATAATTGACAATTACCTATCATACTATATTCATATGTCTAATCAGATTGAACCTGAAGCTCTGA